TGTTGTTTCTTATGAGGAGTGTGGCCAATCGCTTGTCATGTCTTGAGGTTCCATCAAAAACTTCCAAAGTGGCTGTGTTTTTTATCAGTTGTGAAAAACACAAAGTTAAGTGTAAGTACGTAGCCATTGCGAGTGGTGATATTTTCCGCAGTCTCTTTCAGTATTGGAATATTTTGACTGTTCTACAGATATTCGAACGGGGTAAGTCTGACTGACAGTGGTGGGCAGGGTGCAGAACTCGTGGACGTCGGTGCGATCTCTGCGTGATTCTCGGGGATCAGTGTAGTGAACAATGTGGCGTATGCCATCTGCACCATTTCCATCGACAGTACAGTTTTCTAGAAGCACCTTAAACAATAAAAAAATATATTAACTTTGTACTTTTTTATCACGTTAGTCAACATTGTCAGCCATTGTCTTACCTGTCCATAGGTTGAGTTAACAACGATCCCATAACCAGCATTCCCTTCCAGTTCACAATTTGATAAACAACTGGTGCATCGGTGTTCAATATTTCTGCTCCATGGTATGCCGAATTTGTAATTCGTAAGTTTTGCATGTTTGGAGCGACACCCAGGACACTAAGGCCTGCAGTAGTGTTGCTGCTTCTGCCCGATCCAGCATGAGGATGTCCACATATTCGAGAACTGATCGAGAGGATGTGATGTAGAGAGTGTTTTCTTGGGTAAGACGACGTTCGCTATCGGCATACTCAAATCGTAAACCTCGCCAATTGTTCGTGATCTAGAGATAAATATTGAGTATTGAAATAATGAGTCTTGAAATATAAGTACATATGTAGAGACACCACTCTACATTCATAAAAAGAATTCACATATCTTGAAGATAATATCCTGTTACAATTTGTTAAAAATAATCGAAAACCACTGTGTACATAATATATTTTTGTACCGAAATTTATCATATAAATTAATATAAATAAACACCAAACATAGTATTTTTATTTATAATAGAACTATAAGCTGTCCTAAATATATACATAATTAGTTAAAAATAGCAAACAAATTATTTTTCATGTTTTTTTAATTCATTTTTCATTAGATTTTATTAAATTAAAAATACTTGAAAAATAATTGTTATATTTTGTTAGCAAGTTTTCACTATTTTAATTGTTTAAAATATAGTAGAACCTCG